AGAACATTGGATGATATAATTTTGTGGCCCTTTTATGGTTATTATTATTATTATTATTATTATTATTATTATTATTATTATTATTATGTGAATGAAATCTTACATTGAGAATTGTGAGAAACTTTCAACCATTTGATCAAGTATTAAAAATACTAATTAACTGAATATGCATGAATATTTAACCACCATAGCAATTCATTTAGAAATTCGCATTAGATTAAATTTATATAAATATTCAATATATACTGTTTTAATATGTATAATTTTATTACTTGAACTACTATTTATTACAAAAAAAAATATTAATTAATAAATTAAACAGGACCACATTCCCAAATTTGACCAATTAATGATCCAATTGTGGGAGCCTATATATAGTTTCCTTTATGTTGATGTATCATTTCATATTATAGTTGAGCTCAAGTGTACGTTAATCTTGTAAACGAAAAACATGGAAGAAGACAAGTTGTTGCCCAACAAGCAGATTGTACTGAAGAAATTCGTACAAGGCTGCCCGAAAGAGAGCGATTTCGATCTAAATATAACAAACATGAGCACGAACATTCGTGATTATGGATCAAATGGCGTGTTGCTCAAGAATCTCTACATTTCGTGTGACCCTTATTTGTGCCACCTCATGCGTCCTGCTCGACTATCTTCTTTCTTACAAGGTTCTTTTGTCCCAGGATCTGTAAGTCTATCTCCTTTTTCCTTTTGAAGGTCTCGATTATGATGTTGATTGATTGAGTTCTTGATGTCTTATTAATTCTGCTTCATGTGATCATTATATATGTCTTTATTAAATAGGTTGTGACGGGATATGGTGTGGCGAAAGTCATAAAGTCTGGTTATGAGAAGTTGAAAGAGGGTGATTATGTGTGGGGGGTTACAGGGTGGGAGGATTTTAGCTGGAATTCGAATCCCGAAAAGCTGCTGACCAAGATCGAGACAACCGATGTTCCTCTGTCTTACTACGCGGGTATCCTTGGTACTAAGAAATTAAACATACTGTGTTTGTGTCGAAATTTACATTGGTCATGAAATATATGTCTAATTCTGGATACAAATTGGAATCTTTTGGTGCAGGCATATCAGGAATAGCTGCTTATGTGGGGTGGCATGAAATATGTGCCCCAAAGCAAGGTGAAATTGTTTATGTCTCGTCGGCTGCTGGTGGAGTCGGTCATCTCGTGGGACAATTTGCCAAAATGTCCGGTTGTTATGTGGTCGGAAGTTCAAGCACTAATGAAAAGGTCATAATCCCATCGACTACCTAAAGATAGTCGACAGTTAACTCCAAAACGTTTATGTGGATTCATGCGACCTTTTTTTTTTGCCTAAACAGGTCGACTTGCTAAAGACGAAACTTGGATTTGACGACGCTTTCAACTACAGAGAAGGAGACTTGCGGTCACAATTGAACAAGTGCATACCGAACTAAATCATAAGTTCTTGAAGAATTTCTCTTTCCCTTTATTATTTCCTTTTTTATTTTCCTCTTGTCAATTCTATTTTCTTGTTTGTTGTTAATAAAGGCATTTCGCTAACGGCATCGATGTTTACTTTGAGAATGTGGGAGGTGATATGCTAGATGAGGTATTGGGAAATATGAAGTTAAACGGTCGAGTTGCGGTTTGTGGGATGATATCTCAGTACAACCTTACAGAACCAAAGGGCATCCGAAACCTATTTAGCGTAATCCATAAGCGTTTGATGTTACAAGGTTTCTCTGAACAAGACTATAGAAGTACGGCGTACGCCGAGTATGCCAAGTGGGCCATCGAGCAGCTTCGGGAGAATAAGTTGGTCTATGTTGAGGAAGTGATTCCAGGTTTGGAGAATGCGGCTTCTGCTTTTGTTGGTATATATCATGGCCACAATATTGGGAAGAGATTTATTGCTGTTGCTAGGGACTGATTTGTGTTTCTTTAAAGCTTTTGTGGGAGAATTAGTGTGCTTTTCACCATCTCTATGTGGAAAGTATGTATGTGATGGAGGGTGTCTGCTCTAGATTTTAGCAAACCTAAGCTAATTAAAAACTAGTTATCAACCCGTGTATTTGCACGAAAGAGTTAAAAAACCAATCAATGCCAACTTCAACAATCGTGTCGTGGATCCAAAACTTCTTAGGCTGAAAGAAAAAAATATATAAAAATTTAGGATTATAAATAAGTAATTCATAATAAATAAAAATTATAATTATAAATTTTTTTTGCCAAATTTCCGCATTCGATTTTAATGTGATAATTTATTTTAATAAAATATGAATTTTACATATATGGTAATTATTATATTCCACAACAATCGTTTATGCGAGAGTTTGGATTTACACGTCATCTCATTCCCACTCAACATATGCCGTAACTTTTTTTAGCTCATTTATCTTTAAAAAAACCCTCATAAATGACGAGGTAAGAAATAATAATACAATTGCGTGCTGTACCTAACAAACTGAATTGAAAAACCCAGCTCAAAATTCATCTGTGCCATGTCAATACCTCATCTTCCCCCGAGCCCGAAGCCAGCAATCTTCCTCAGAACCACCATTAATGGCCCCTCCACCTCCTCCACCTCATAACCCGTCTCCCTCTGCCTCCGATTACTCCAACTCCGCCTCCGCGTATCGCCCTCCGATTCCCCTCTCTTCCATCACCGCCGCTGCCGCCTCCTCCTCCTCCTCCGGCGTCATGAACTACCTCTGGATCCCACTTCTCCTCGCTCTCTCCAAGGAGCTCGCAGGCTCCGCCAGCGCTGACTCCACTGCCTCGGTCCTCGCCTTGCCCAGTCAGGCCGGCGGTTTCCCGGCGGTTCCACGGTGCCCCACAGAGGATCCTAGCCTCAACTTCCGTCCAGTGATTGGAATCCTCAGCCACCCTGGGGACGGCGCCTCCGGCAGGCTCAGCAACGATTCTGATGCCTCCTACATCGCTGCCTCTTATGTGAAGTTTGTGGAGTCAGCTGGCGCGAGGGTTATTCCCCTTATCTACAACGAGCCTTCGGAGGTTCTTAATGATGTAATGTTCCACCCACTCTGCGCATTTCTCCTCCCATGATTATTGTCTTTCGTTTTCAATCTATATTGATTAACAACTTAACAGTAGTTGTTGACCTACTGTCTCTGATCATGCTAATAATTCTGGTTGGTCATTGACAATGTATGATCAGTGAGAAAGAGATTAATCATAAATATGTGAAACGTTTGATCCTCTGACCTTCATGACTAAAGAAAGTATGGATGTTTTCCTTCTTTCTTCCCTCTGTCTCGTTGTCATTGAGAGAGAGAGACAGTAAAAGGAATTCTAAAGAGAAGTGGTATATACATGTGTTCACAAGTGATTACGTTGACTTTTCTGATAGAACTACCTTATAGTTGTTCAATTTTCTGCCAACATATATTGGTGAAGTTTTGTGTCACACGCTCTTTTGTATTGATGAATCACCGATGCATAGCACATCAGCAGATCTATTGTTATTGACAGAATTCTGTACTTTGTTAATTGTTCATGGAACCATGTTTCCCTAAATTGTCTGAGTTAATTTATACTTTATGCTGCAGAAACTCAAATTGGTCAATGGAGTAATCTTAACAGGAGGGAGGGTCAAAACAGGTCTCTACTTTAAGGTTGTTGAGTCGATATTTAAGGTACATCCTAAACTTGAACACAACATCTTTTTCTACCACCTTGTTATCAGTTACCAATGGAAATATGCAAATGAAATAATAGACGTATTTTATCTTTGGTTTTCTTGATTTGTGGCTATATTTTTTCTTTCCGTTTTGCTGCTAAAGTAGAACTAAACCTTCTTGCAGTTAAATATGAATAAGACTATACCAATTCATTCGGACTTCGCAAATAAATAGCTTGACCCGTATTTTCTCCATATCATATTGCAAATTTACAAACTACTGGTTCCAGTGTAAAAATGTTGGTTTTGCAGCGTGTTGGTAGCCTTGAATATTGTTAAGTATTTTAATAGTTTTTTTTTTTTTTTTCAGGGCCATGTTCTTTTGGTCCTTTTATTTTATAGCCTGTATGTAACTGTAAATATTTTACGTATACTAGTAGTTTGATCACAGACATTTTTTTAGCAATTTTTTAGGCCACCATCCTATGATTTTGGTTTGCTCTGATCTTGATTTTCTAGCCTGTATACTACGATTTTTTTTTTTAATCAATGGATTTATCCTGTAAGATTAACATTTACGTGTTGTATTTCAGGAAAATAAAATGCAACGATATTTTCAAATCATGACTGATATATTTATCTTTTCTCTGCAGAATATTCTGAAAAAAAATGATGGTGGAGATCATTTTCCTTTGCTTGCGATATGCTTAGGTTTTGAACTGTTAACGATGATCGTCAGTGAGGTAAGCTTTGTAGAACTATGCACATATCATTTCAAGCAATATTAACAACAATTAAGTGACACTAAGTTGTGTAGAACTATGCCCATATTGTTTCAACCAATATTAACAACAATTTAGAGAGACACCCTCATTCCATCGCATGTATGTCTCTCTCCTAGTGAAGAGAAGGGGAATAGGTGGCAAAAGAGAGAAAAGTCATGATGGTTTATAGTTTTCATGGAATTGCATGCTTAAAATGTTACTTATTTTCCAATAGTTTACTAAAATCTTTGATTGTACTGTATAATAACGACCGTGGATAGATGTCACTTACATTAAGCAAGCAGAGCATTGCTACTTCGGTCTCCTGCTGCACATAAGATGATCATTATGAACTTGCTGACATTGTGGGCTAATGTTTTTCATTATATGTCTCGCAAACATGGAGTTTCGGCTTATATCAGCTACTGTCTTGGATTTCATTTCTTACATGTTTGCTACATTCTATTACTCTATACTAGGACTTCCAGTTTACGTTCCATTTAAGTCAACATAGGTTTTGATTAATTGGCTTCGACTTGTTTATCTATGTAAGTTTGCCATTTCTATTATTACAGGACCAAAACATTCTGGAGAATTTCAATGCAGTAAATCAAGCTTCGACATTGCAATTCATAGATGGCATAAATCTAAAGAGAACTGTGTTTCAAAGGTAATATCTGAAGTTAATTTGACAATTAAGGTTTCAGGTTCATTTTTTATACAAAATTACTCCCACTATAGCATGACGTTGCAATTGCAATTCATTTGACTGGTGACTTTTAAAATGCTAGACTACCATGAAAATGAATTGCTCTTGTTGCACTTGATGTTTTGTGACTTTAGTGTCAATGTCTCATTGGTGTATAGTTGTTACCCTGAAACTGTTAAAAGTTCGTAGGTGCAAGCATGACTCTAACTAATTTTTTTATAGCTCATTACTGTTAATAACCGTGCTGATGAAAAATTAGAAGCATAAACTTCAGGCTCTATAATTTTAAAATTGGTTGGCACACCATAGATGAAACCAGGACTGGAACCATCTCGGACGGTTCTGGTTCTGGTTTCAGAATCTTAGTTTTGTTGAGAACATATTCACTGTCTCATTCATCCAATTGAGTTCCATATCTAAATTTCTGAATAAAATTTCATGGAAACAATAATCCTGATTTCGCTGCTCATGAATCATTACTTTAAAACCAGATTTGCTGCATGTTTCCGTGTAGCCTAATGGCATGGCTAGGCCGCAGCTCTTTCGGCAGGGCCATTAAATTGAAGTGCTTGATTTTTAGTTGATTGCTTTGTTTTGGTCTAAGAATAATATAATATGACTAGATAAAAATGGATACAGTTCAATTGCCTCATAACAGATAATTCATGTCTATTAAAAATTGTTACGGTAGTAATGACAAGATCTATGTAGCTTTGCAAACGTTTCCCACATTTTGATCAACTTGTAATTTCTTTCTCTTTTCCATTTCTGTTATTTTCGTTTCTGTATTGGCTGTTGGGCCGTCATCACTTGTCTATTTGACTGGAAGTAGAAGACTACTGGAGAAACTTTTACTACTTCATCTCTATATACGTAGAATCTGTCTTACCTTTGATCTGTGTGACTGGTGCATCATATGTATATATACTTTACTTTTATTGAGCAATACCTGGCACTTACTATCTTCATTTGTGGACTGGTAAAGCCAATACGCATTCATGTGATCCACTTTTGCTTTATTTGATTATTATTATATGTCCAGAGCTACCATTTTCCCAAATACTCATTCAGAGAACATTTTTCTACCTAGACATGTGCATCATATTTTATAAGACTTGCTGTTTGTATTATCCTTTTTCTTTCTGTATTTGGTTCTTATAAGGAAAATACATTCCCTTTTCAGGTTTCCTCCGCCTTTGCTAGAGAAGCTAAGGACAGAATGCCTCGTGATGCAAAATCACCGTGTAAGTGCAGTTTGTCTTTCTGTGATCGTAGTTTTATGTTTTTCTGCTGGATGACTGCATAGAAATTTGGGTTAGCAGCAACGTGGTTGTATTAGGTAAAATATTTGGCATTTTAATTGTTTAAGCAACTGCATGTATTGTGAGAGCTTCGTCTGTTCGAAATATTCATGTGGGACGCTAATTCTCTTTTTCAAACTCTTTTTTTTTTTTATTTCTTGTTCTGGCTGTATACTCGAAAAAAAATACAACTAATAGCCTTCACGATATAAAATTTACAAGTTAACTACAACTATTATTATCAGTTTTATGAAAAACCTTCTCTGTTGTATAGCCAGTTCACTATAGTGTAGCTTATCAGTCACTTATATAACCATTCTCATTTCCTGTTACTGGCAGCTTGGCATTTCACCTGTTAAGTTCCAAGGAACCAAGAACCTTAGCAGTTTCTTTGAGATCCTAACAACTAGTACTGATCAAGATGGCAAGGTATTGAAGGAATCACAGCTGTTGTGCATTCATGTTAACTCCGTTTTGTCTTCGATTTCGTTCCACTATATTTGTCGTTATCCGAGCTTTGTTATTATCACGTTCCGTACAATCAACTTGTATTAGGTCTATGTTTCGACAGTTCAGGCAGACAAATATCCAGTGACTGCTGTTCAGTGGCATCCAGAGGTATTACCTATATTTATGTTATCAAATTTTCATTTGTAATGGAGTTGTACATATCTGTTTCCTTTAGGTAGATTTTCAATTTGTTGGAGCATACGACTGACCTTTAGCTTCTGTTCTGTAAGAGGAGCAGGGTTGGATGGGAAATGAAATTAGATACTAATTTAGGTAAAAATAAAAAAATGAAAAAATAATGTTATTATACATTTTAACTGGAGAAAGAAAATGCTCAAGTGGGCTGTCTTTACCAGGCGCACATTCTATTTATCATATAACTACTCAAATGTTAGTAGTTTATTACATTAATTACTAATGGTGGGACAATGATGATTAAACTGGGATGAACATTAGACCATTTACTAATTCACAACTTCAAGTCTTGTTTCCCTATCCTAAAACTTCAGAATATTTTAGATGTGGAACTCCATACATTCCCTCATGGACCCAGAACCTAATTCGTCAACATAATACCAACAGTGGGCATCCTGGATAACAGGACTGTGGCCTTCTCTTACTTGCTATCATCTTCTAGAAACGCATAGCAATACATTGTCTGTCTTCATGTTTATTTTTCATTAAATTGGTGTTATTCCCGTCACTCAATTCTGGATAAGCATAATTTGGTCATAGTTTTAAATTAATAGAGCAGACAAACTCATACATGTTAGAACTTGATATTAACTCTTGTTGGAATTTTAAAATTTCGCTTCTTGATCAGAAAAATGCTTTTGAGTGGGGCTTATCACGGATCCCACACTCGGAAGATGCCGTTGAAGTCACTCAGCTTGTTGCTAACTTTATTGTGAGGTAACATTTTCAAATTTGGTGCGTTGTGTGTTTGGCAGTGTTTAAGATATAGATTATAGACATTGTAGTTGTATATTATAGTACATATCATCCATAATTTGATGAGCACTGAAGTTCAGATGGCAAATACTGGTGCCCTAGGTTCAAATGTTAAACTCAACTGGCATGCATGGTCTTTTCTGTCACGTCATATTCTAAAACTAAATGTTAGTTTTGATGCCTTTATAAATGTCTTGTACTCCTTCCACACTCAAGGATAAAAGATTGCTATGTCAAAGACATGTTTCTGAAATATTAAAGACTATTGTTAAATACTATCCGAACTCGTCGTGCATTTCCTGCTTGGATTTAAATCCGCACGTACACCTACATAATAATCTCCTACCTCATGAAGTTTTAATTGATACTGCTTTATATTTTATGACTATCAGAGAGGCTCGGAAGTCTATGAACAGGCCATCTCCCCTGGAAGTACTCGACAACCTCATATATAATTACAGTCCCACATACTGTGGAAAGGCTGGGTATCTCTCTCTCTCTCTCTCTCTCTCTCTCTCTCTCTCTCTCTCTGTGCATGCTGTGGGTCATTTTATTTTATTTTTTTATCTTTTCTTTTGCAGTAGGGGCTTTGATGAGGTATACATATTCAGCAGCATCCCCAAGCTTTCTGGTAAAATGTAACTTGAAACCGACTTGTAAATAAGGATGATGAATCAACATGCTAAGTTGTAAATTCAAGAGCTGTACTATATCCATCTTGGTGCTTATTACACCAAAAAGGTTGAAGAATATAAAACGACTCTCTGAGCTTTTAGCACCTTCCCGAATGGTTTCTTGGGAACCCCTAGTGCAAGGCCAGAATAATCTAAAAAAAGGTTTTCAAGGCCTTAATCTGTCCGGCATACCCACCATGACCAAACCGGCTACTCGGCCTCGTCTAGTGCCACTCAACTGTATCAGCCGCAAGTTCCCACATTGGTCACTTAAGAAATAAAATGAGTATATAACTAATACTTATATATTAGATAAGAGCAAGATTATGCCACTGGAAATCTGAAATAAGTGAGACACAGATCTTGGCGACTCCAAAGCCCTCTTTCATTTTGCCAATATCAACAATAACTTTCATTACTCTTTATGATTGATAAATAAAATAAATGAATGAATAAAAAGGCATACAAAGGATTAAGATTTTAAGCTTTTAATGGTTATAAACCTTCCCTCTTTTCTATGCTATCATATACTATTGGAATTTCCTCATTAATCTTTCACTTCACAATTCTATTCCTCAATCTCCTGCCCTTTTTCTCCCACATTGTCTACTCAAAATCTTCAGGTTTTACCCTAAAACTCATCCCATGGGACTTCCCCCAGTCATCCTTCTACCAACCAAATCTCACTCAAACACACAGGGTACAAATGATGGCTATGTCCTCCAAAGCACGGGCAGAAATCTACCCGGTCGAAAAAAAACGGGACTTCCAACACAAAGATACAAATCCCAATGACAAAGGACAAAGATCTTCGATACTCCGTAAACATCAAAATCGGAAACCCAGGCAATGAGGCCACTCTGCTTCTCGACACAGGCAGCGGTGCCATTTGGACAGACTGCCAGCAATCTAATCCCCACTACAACTCGAAAAGGTCCAAGACTTACAAAAAAAATGCCATGTCAGCATCCCCTGTGCAGAATGGCCAACAATTTCTGCCGATGCATAAAGGGGCAGTGTGTTTGCACACTAAGATACGCAGGAATTCTATGGTGCCACAATATGATGTGGCACATTATGAATGGTGCCACACTATCACACATCATGTTGTGACACCAATCATAATGTGCCACATCATGTTGTGGCACCATAATATGGTGCCACATGTGGTACCATAGAATTTCTGATAAGATACGGCATAGAGGACGGTATAAAAACTGAGGCCCATGCAATCCTCTCGTCTGACACTTTCACTCTGCCACTAAAGAATAAGAGCTCATGGACTTTTAAAGACACGGTTTTCGGGTGCACGAACGGGTCCCCTGTGTTCTCCGGGATTCTTGGCTTGAACAAATTGCCAGTTTCTTTGATAAGCCAGATTAGGAAAAGCGTTCGAGGACAATACTCGTACTGCCTGCACCAAGCGCATGGCTATTTAAGGTTTGGAGATGACATCCCAAAAATTGGGAAAGATGTCAAAACCACATCAATATTACATCATTCGGCCGAGACAATGTTTCTAGAGCTGAAAGACATAAGTGTAGCTGGGAAGAGGCTGGGAATATCTACAGCACTATTCTCGTATTCACAGGGGGGATTCTTTGTCGACACTGGGACCCAGCTCACAATCCTCAAGAGACAAGCTTATGATAAGGTGATGAAAGCATTTGCAAATTTTTACGACGTTCGGCTAAAACGGGCCAGTAAGAAGATTCAGCACCTGGACCTTTGTTATAAGCAAAATTCGACCATGAGTAATATTGCTAACATGACCTTTCATCTACAAGGGGCGGACTATGTGCCCAGTCATATGTATGTAGCGCCTGAGATTGGTATTATGTGCATTGGTATACTGCCAGGAGAACTATCTATATTGGGAGTGTTGCAGCAGTTCAATAAAAGGTTCGTTTTTGACATAAACAATAATGTGCTGAAGTTTGTCAGTGAGGATTGCTCGAAGGATAGAGGACAATAGGCTATCATGAAATGAGACGATTTGGAAGAAGATTACATTTACATGCATGACGATATATAGTACAATTCTCCCGTTCTTACATTGTAATAAATATTTAAATGTATCGTTTCGTCTCCATTTGTTCATATTCGAGTCACGAATTTAGGTTGCCTTAAGCCTGCAACTAATTCTTTGTTCAGTTTCTTCTCAGTTAGATATTTGGAATACAAAGCGTACGTCCATTCTTATTGTAAATTAAAGATTGAGATACCTAGGATTTCAATTTTCTGTAGTCCAGATTCAAAGAAGTCTGTAGAAATGAATTAGATATACCAACTATATATCTGAAGGCAAATAAAATAAATACAACAAACCCAACTAATTAGAGACAACATTTTCTTTAATATCAAGATTATCACATCTACAAGTCATATATACCTGAAATTCAAATCTGTTATAATCTGTATCATATTTGTTTAATGTACTATGGGGAAATGGGCATGACAAAACTTGTAGAAACAGATTATTCTATGTTCAACACTGCACCAGGAAAAATGGGAAGGAAGCAAATATCAGTTACCAGAATTCTAGTCTTCCTTTTCATCGTATTCTTCGATAGAATCACACCAAGAACCCAAGGGTTTCGCATGAAACTCGTCCCATGGGACTCACCCACCTCCCCTTTGTACCCTGGAAAACTCAGTCTACTCGAGAAACATCGAAGAATCATTTCGCACCAGTTAGAATCCATTTCAGCTGGCCGCCGGTACACAAATTCTACTGTAAATCTGAATGAAATTCAATTTGCTGTGGAGAACCAAGACAACCTTCGTTTCTCGGTGGATGTTGAAATAGGCACTCCAGGCGCCAATGTGAAGCTACTAGTCGACACCGACGGTGGCTACCTTTGGACTCGATGCTCATTGCCGACTCGCCCACCGTTGAACTCCGTAACTTATAGAAAACTACCCTGTAACCATCATATGTGCCCGAAAGAAATTTGCAGATGTATCAAAAACCAATGCATTTGTAACATCTATCATCGATCGAGCGGTAATCACTTTAAGCTTGCAGGTTCTGTTGATAATTTTCACATACCCGGTTCGGAAAAGAAAGTAGACATCGTTTTTTGGTGCTCAGTGCAGCAATTTTCGAATCTTTCTGGGACATTGGGATTGGACAGGTCACCGGTTTCTCTGTTAAGCCAGACAAGGGAGGAATCCGGAGGGAGATACTCGTACTGCCTGCATAGTGGAGATAGTTACTTGACATTAGGAGAAGACATTTCCAGTCATGGTAAAAAGGTCAAAAGCACACCTCTAATACACAACGATAGTCCGACATTATTCCTGAATTTGACGGACATAAGTGTCAACGGGAATAGGCTAGGCCTGTCTCCAAGACTGTTCGCACTGAAAAACGGCGGTGTTTACATGGACACGTACTGGTGTGACTGAAGCATACCTGTAATGGACGCTTACTGCCTTGTCTTATACAGTGCTCACGAGAGAAGCATACAACAAGGTGAGACAAGCATTTGAACGACACTTGAAAGGAAAACTGAAGAAGATCGCAGTGGAGCACACAAATTTGAAACCTTGCTACAGGGTGACAGCTGGTTTTCCCGACCATGACTTTCCATTTTCAAGGGGCTGATTTCGAAGCAAAAATCACACACGTTCTGGACGATGCAACAGGTGTTGCTTGCACTGCGGTGATGCCGGGAAGGACAACCACCATTGGGGCAGTTCAGCAGTGGGACACCAAGATTATGTTTGATATGAATAAGAATGTAGTTAAGTTTTACAAGCATCCATGTGGTGATGACACTAGAGAATGAGAGTGTGTTGCTGTAGGGCAGATTTTTTGTTCTGCTGTTAGTAAAACAAGGATATGAACTTGATCTTGATCTAATAAGTAAGCATTTCTGAATTATGCATGATGTTATAAAGTTATATGCTTATTACAAAAGACACACCTGTGGTTTACTGTTACTAATGGTAATTGATTTATTTTCTAAAGCTATGAATACAAGTACAAAAGCTGTGAATACTAAGTTACTATACACATAATGACAATATTCAAGAAAACAATTTCTCAGGTGAAAAATAAAAGATGATATGATTGACCTTTCTCATTTTAGTGAAGTGCCATTTGTACCTTATCACATAGAAGCAAAGTGGTAAGCGATAAGGTAAACAAAAATAGGGTACACACGTCGGTCGATTCGAGTATCAATTGAAGAAAAACTATGTCTTTTTTTCTTAAGAAAGTTCATCTCACTGGTAGAAAAGGTTTAGAAGGGGTTGAAGTCGTTTTTATCTCTAATAATACAGATAAGTCTGACTTGGTGGTGTACATTGATATTTGATATACATTAATCTTGGAGAAATTGAAAGGTACATAGGGATGTCCTCATAGTGACTTTCCGTTTAATTTTATAATAAATGAAAGAATCGACCTAAATTAAATGGAAAATTAATTTGAGTAAGAAATGAGCTGAAATGTAGAAAAAAAAAAATTAAATTAAATAGCTCAAAGTTGATTGAATCGTAACGTTTGGGCTCGGATGATTGCTCAGTACATAATGAGTCGGAGGCGGCAGCATGAGGACTTGGGATTCGCCGGCGAGTGCTCGGGCGTGCAGTTAGACTCCCGCGTCACGGGCAAGCGCAGCACCATTTCCAGCTCAGGTTGCGAAGATAATGACTTCGTTATTTTTAAAATTAGGTGGTCGGACAATAAATTAATCTCGTATACATAAAATGGACGGTTTTGCTATGGAGCCATCGGATGGCTCGACTTATGGAGCCATCCATTGTTATTCACAAATGATGTATTGACATGTGTCCTGCAATAAATGCACATTGGACATGTGTCAGTACATAAAGTCATGGATGGCTCCATAAGGGAGCCATCCGATTGCTCCATAGATTTTCTGATAAAATGGATAGACTAGGTTTCCAATCAACTTCCCCACACGAAAGAATCTTTAATATCTATGTAGTAAGTGCACATGAGCAGTATATTTTATTTTCTTTCGTTGAATTACTCCTCTTGGTAACTGTGGATGGAGGACAATATTTGCCCCTAAACTTGGACTTTAGAGATCTCCCTCCATCCTTCTCCTTACCATGCTTTAGAAAATGTAATCATACATAAACCTACAAACCATTTTTTCCCGCATCAAAACCGGCTCATCATATACGGTCCGATTCGCGAGTCGATACTCGGCCGATTTTTAAAACAGTGCGGTGCAGGTAATAACTAGAGATCGAATTAGTTTATTCCTCCTCCAATGAGACACAAGTATCAGCCAATCAAACTTTTGATGCTTCTTTTTAGGATCATATCCCTCTTTTTTGTCTCATCTTTCCACTGTGCAGCACACTTTGTGCTCACAGCTCACCTATTGGTTATTAATCTTCCCGTTAAGACTTTTAAAGATGTAGAAAAAAAATAAAGTATGATAAAGAAAGCAAAAGCTTGGACCTTCCTGTCATTAATGGCATCGATCCAAGAGCAGAAAATAAAGTAGTAATTTTTACACCCCTCTTTTTATCTTTCGTTTGGACACACTCATTAAATCACACTCATTTTAGTACCATCATTATCCTTCGCTAATCACAGTCGCCATTTTTGTTCCCTTTCGATTTCTCAAGACCTCAGAATGGACCTTTCTGTGTCAACACCAAAAAAGACCAGATTAGCCCAAGCATTCGCCACCGCGTTACGCGCACGGGCCCGGAAGACGAGAAAGCACCACGAAAGCCCGAAAACAGGCCCAATCGAACCTCCCAAGGCTGCCTCTCACGCGCGTGTTAACAAATTGCTGGAAGAAGCTTTCCTCGCGAAGGTTTTCGCGAACGTATCGGCCGTAAAAGCTGCGTACGCTCAGCTACAGTCCGCGCAATTCCCTTACGACCCAAACGAAATCCAGTCGGCCGACGGGATCATAGCTTCCGAGCTGAATAAACTCTCCGAGTTAAAGCAGCATTACGCGAACAACGTGCTCGACGAATTGAACCCGGAGGAAACTCTGCTCCTATGCGAAATCCGGGAGCTCGACAGCCTTCTCGTGACCTATCGAGTCACGTGCGAGAAATTGGGCTCCCAGCTCAGGCTCAAGGACTCGGAGATTATTTTTCTCAGGGAGAAATTAGCAGAGGCCGAAGGCCGTGACGACGTGCTCCTGAATAGATTCCTAAGCTTGAGTGCAGATAATTATGTTTATCTGTCGGGTTTATTGCCGAGCCATTTTGTCGGGTGTTTACAAGAGGTAGTAAATTCGGTCCGGGGCTTTACGCGTTTGCTTGTTGACAAAATGGGTTTCGCGGGCTGGGATTTGGAGCTGGCTGCTCGTTCGATCCATCCCGGAATCAAACCGGGTCATTTATGCTACGCGTTCGAGTCGTTTGTTTGTAGAGAAATGTTTGACGGTTTTAACGGTCCAGATTTTTCCTTATTCGGGGAGGAGGAGAAAAGGAGCCGTTGCACCTTTTTCGAGAGATTCTTGGAGGTGAAAAAGTCGGTGGATTACGAGGCGTGGAGGCCTGATTCGGAGTTTGCGGCCTTTTGCCGCGGGAAGTATTTGAGGCTGATGCGCCCGAAGCTGGAGAGGTCCATTTTCGGGAGCTTGGAGCTGAGGGAGTCTGTGGATTCGGGTGAATTTCCAGATTCGCCCTTTTGGGGGGCGTTCTGCGAGATGGCCAAAGGCATCTGGCTGCTGCATTGCTTGGCGATGTCGTTCAGCCCAGAAGTTTCCGTCTTTCAAGTTAGGGAGAGGAGCCGTTTTTCGGAAGTTTATATGGAGAGCGTGAACGATGACGAGGCTTTTCCCAATGTTCTTCGTGTGGGTTTTACAGTTGTACCCGGGTTTATGGTTGGTCGGACAATCGTTCAGTGTCTGGTGTATTTGTGCTGATCGATGACTGGTTTTTTTCTTTCGTCTTCTTCGATTGTGTATAAAATTTTATGGTTTGTGGAGATAGATTGTCATGGGCTTGACTATAGTTTGTTCTTTGTCTTTGCTCCCCTTTTTTTTTCCAGTTTTTGTGTGAAAAGAGAAGTGCATATGATGATTTTGGTGGAGATAATATGGTTTATGTTATTTGTGATGTCCAATTTTTCCCAGGTACCTTGCAGTTGTGTTTCATCAAAGTGGTGAATGTGTATATAAACTACTCGATCAATCAAAGGTGTGAAAATCTTTTAATGTATCGATTGTTTGTTTATCGTACTCTTAAAGCAAGCCACATTTGTCGGCTAGGTTAATTTTAGTGTCAAATTAGCAACACATCCAACATATGAATTATACGTACTCTTAGCTACCAACGTGATTTATGCAATTTAAGGCTAATTTAGTGCGAAGTTGGGCCAAAGTTAGGCCGAAAGAGAGATCTTCAATAGTTAAAGAGATCGTTGCGAGAAAGTTTTATGAGTGAATTATTATTAGCATGTATTGCCTCCGTCTAACGGATCCAAAAATTTTAATGAGCTAGAGCAAAAAATAGTTGAAGAAAATTTTCAACAATATTGTAGAAAGAACTTATACTAACAATTAAGGAGGTGATTGTTTACAAAATAATTTACTCACTTTTATTTCAACTCAAAATCTAACTCAACTTTAACTCAACCTACTATCTTTAATATTATTCATATACTTAAATAATACAAACCAATCATTCTTACACATCACATCAACTTTAATTCACTATTCATCCACTCACATAATTTTAACTACCTATCATTTCCAATCATTTTCAATCATTTATCTCTTACTTTTACATCAAATCAATTTTAGTTATTTTATTCTAAATATTATTTTAATACATTCTTAAAATTCCACTACAACTAATCATACCACCTTTTTTAAAATTAACTATAGTTAACCAAAATAACTCAATTTGAACAAATTATTTTATAAACAATCAAGCCCTAAGTAATTCTTGAAACAAACGGGTCTTTAGGGTTTCTTTATTCAATTTGTTTTTGACTTGATGCTGAGAAAAGAAATGATGAGTGAGGTCCGATTATTGAATTTTGTATTTTTGTATTATTAAGAAGTACACAAAAAATAATAAACAATCCATTTTCCTTCATTTATTGTAATAACTTATAATCTTGAAATATAATTTATTAATTAATTAAAAAATAAAACTAAACGTCATCATTTTAGTTTCTTTTATTTTCTAAGGAGGTCCTTATGATCATCGGTTTACATATAAATGTGGAGTTTTTCATTGTCAAATTTCAACGCTTTTGAAATTATATATGTTAATTTTTAAGGATCGAAATAATCCTCATAAATATGGACATTTATCCATATTTATTAGAACTTTCGAATTGAAACAATTGGCTAACTGAAATTGCAAATATATTATAGAAGTTAATAAAATTTATATTTGTTATAATTTTTATTATATGATGAATTAAACTATTCATATTGTGACGATTT